ATCTCTCTCTGACCCTCCCCACCAAGTGGCATTCTGTCGCTCTCAAAATAAATAAACATAATAAAAAAAAATTTTTTTTTAAAGAATCACACGTTCTACCAATGGAGCTACCCAGGTTCCCTAACATTTTGGTGTTTAAACCTCCATTTTTAGGTTTCCTTTTTAAATAGTAGGATACTGGGGTGCCTGGGTGGCTCAGTGGGTTGAGCGTCCAACTTGGGCTCAGGTCATGATCTCACGGTCTGTAAGTTCGAGCTCCACGTCAGGTTCTGTGCAGACAGCTCAAAGCCTGGAGCCTGCTTTGGATTTTGCGTCTCCCTCTCTCTCTGCCCCTCCCCCACTCATGCTCTGTCTCTCTGTCTCAGAAATAAATAAACATTAAATAGTAGGATACCAAGATAATTCAACACAAATATAAGAAAACTGAAATATGTGTCAATGCCCCAAATTTCCTACTACACTTACAGTTTTGTCTCCAGTAAGAGTAAGGTTTGTTCCATTCTCCTTAGCCTAAACATTAAAAAAAGAAAGTTAATTTAGAATTTTTACTTTATGCTTAGAAATACATAACAATGAAAACAATTACCTCTTGTTTTTCTCCTAAGAGAGGCAATCGATGTACAAAATCCCCAGAAAAGCTCTATGAAAAAAACATAACATTAAAATTAATGTTTAATAGTAAAAAAAAAAAAAAAAAAAGTTCAAAACCTACAAAAACATGGTTGAAACAAAATACACTGTAACACTAAATAATATGGCATTGACAGACAGAAGATTTCCAATTAACCACAAACAAGTGAGAACTAAAAACTACTATCAAACTAAACGGGCCACTCAATTTCTCTGTTAAGAATTAAAAATATTTATGAATAAAAAAAACCTTAAAACAGAAGACATATGCTTAGGATAGAGAGATCTTATGGTTCCCTCTCTTGCCTCATATGAGAAAAATATGGCTCAAAGTTATCAAGCTTTAGATACAGAAATGGAATTTCAACTTAGAATTTTTTTTTAATGTTTATTTTTATTTTTGAGAGAGAGTGAGAGACAGTGTGTGAGTGGAGGAGGGGCAGAGTGAGAGGGAGGCAGAATCTGAAGCAGGGTCCAGGCCCTGAGCTGTCAG